TTGTGCCAGCCATTCATGGGTCCTTCCAATTTGAACACTCATGTCCTTTAGTTTGAAAAGTTTTGTCGTATTCTTCATTTTTATAGACTATTGAAAACACGTAAAAACATAAAGAATAATAGCATGAACACCCATCAAACAGCTTAAAAATTCAAACTTTGCAAATATAGTTGAAGATACCTGGTACCCCACCCCCCACATTTAATCCGTTTCTTCTCTGTACCCACCCACCTCCCAAAAACCATTGTCTTGAATTTTGATGTTTATTGTTTTCAAGAATGCCTTTATACTTTTTCTATGAATGAATATGTTTCTATATACTTTATATTATTCTATATTATAAATTCGGATTTTACATAAATGGCATCCTTATATATATATTTTATCACAACTTGCTTTTCTTGCTCAACAAAATATTTTCTGAGACTCATTCCTACATTGATTCATGTTGCTGTGGATCATTTATTCCAACGCTGTATAGTTTTTTGCTCTATAAATATACACAGTATAGCTAGCTCTTCTCCTATTGATGAATCATTTTATCATTATAAGCAGTTCTACTATAAATATTCTTCAATTAACATTCTTCTACATGTCTTTTCTTAATATGAGTGTAAAAAATCTTTGACTTACATATATTTGGTAGCAGATGGGTCAGAATCAGATGATTCAACAAGAATTGTTATGTATAGGTAATGTGCATCTTCTACTTTTCTAGACACTGAGGAATTGTTCTCCAAATTGATTGTAGCAATTGCATAAGTGGTATAAGAGTTACAATTTGTTTATGTCTTTGATATTTTCTCTGCTCCATTTTCTGTGTTCTCTTTCTGGAACTTGTGTTAGTTTGTTGTGGCAGTTCATGTATAATTCTTTATTTGCTATCTTTTCTATTCTATTTTTGACATCTTTGTGGGGTTTTTTTGTTTGTTTTACATTCTGGGAAATTTCCTCTACTCTATGTCCAATCTTTTTACTGACTTGTCTATTTCTCTTATTATATTTTAAGTGGTTTTGTTCTTTTTAAGTGGTTCTTTATTCTTTTCGGAATGTTTCTTACAATAATATTCTATCCTTGTTTCACTGATGTAATATTTGTTTTATATAGTTTTTAAAAAGTGTTTTTATGTACATTTTCAAATATATACAGAAATAGAGGGAAAATACAATGAATGGATTTAAGCATCACCTAACTTCAACAATACATATATTTTTTCTGGAGTTCTCAAATTCTAGATAGTACAGTATGATGTAGATACTTCAGCAGGAATCTTTAGAATCTAAGAAATGTTTAAACCTAACCACACTACCCTTATCGCAAAAAACAAAATAACATTTTTTTAATCATTACTTAATAAAATCCTATTTTTTGTTCAAATTCCTCCATTGTCTCAAAAAAGGCCTTTTGACAGTTGGTTTGTTCAAATCAGTAACTAAGCACTATCTTCCCATTACAAATGGTTGAGGCCCCTTCAACATGCCATATATTTATTGAATAAACTGAGCTGAATAGACTTTTTTCACTGTTTTTTTACTCTTCTTCTTCTTCTTCTTCTTTTTTTTTTTACATTTTGCTTTTCCTCTGAGTTTTTTGTTTTCGCATTCTCATTTCATGTGAGAGGGTTTGTCAAATGCCTGATGATCATTAGCTTGCTGTTAATCATTAAGAGAAGGTCACTGAAAAACTCCCTGAAAACTCTATGTGCGTGTTGGGAACTGTAGACTTAGGGTAATTATTAGAATCTGGCTGTTTCAATGGGTTGTTGGGGGACGGTGGTGGGTGTAGAAGGCAGCATCTGTATGTTACCTCCCTTGGTCTGGCAAACTTCCCAGATACCTTTCCAGGAGCTTTTAAGCCTGGCTCTAGGTGTCGGAGAAGGGCCAAGCATGGGCTTCACTGTAAATTTTAACAGGACCTTCCTCTCTTTAGCACACACAGCACCTAACCCCTGACTGCAGCTTGACCTTGTTCCCAGAATGTAGAGAGCCTCTCTAATTACTCTGACTCATCTGCTCCAAAGAGCAAACCTCCCTCCTGTGCCCAGGTCTGGAGGGGTGGAGACCTCACTGACTGAGCTGGGGCTCTTACAGCACATCCTGGTCTGCAGTCTTCTTTTCTGCAGCCTCAGGGTGCTCAGTGCTTTCACTCTACCCTCACTTTCTTTCTTCTACCCTCACTCTACACTCCCCTACTTTTCATGCAGGGATCTAGATTACAGTTTTACTTTATTGGAAAGTGAATAAAACTCCAGTTATTACCTTATTGGAGTGTCTGGAGGGAACAGAGGAAAATACGTATACTCCACCTACCATGTTAAACCAGAAGGAGGTCTTGCATTCTTTTTGAACAGATTCATTGTGACACGAACACTTGTATCTGTATACTTATGCATATATAGATTGCTTTTATTAACATTTGGTAACTCGAAAGGACCAATTTTCAAATATTAAAATAAGGAACAACTTCTCTAAATTTTAACGGAAAAAAACTATGCTAGAATTTTTAAAGCCAGAAATTATCTTGTTTTGAAGACTTAAAATCATTCTGTTTGGGGAAATGAAGATTTTCCAAACTGTATATAACTTTTAAATCAATAAGAGGGAATGTTCAATAGTAGAGATGGCTTGGGGGCATTTACTTTATTAATTTATTAATAAATGTATTAATTTGTATAGAAACAAGTCTTCTATTAGATAGTGAGTATGCATTTGTGAGGTAACAATTTATTTCTTTCTCCCTTAGGGCTGTCACATGGTGACTGAAGAACTTCATTCCATAACCTTTGAAACACAGATCTGCCTCTATGGTCTGACCATAGATTTGGAGGTAGGTGTTTCAAGAACATACACCATTTACTCATGGTATTTGCAGGAATTGATCAGCATTAATAGATGTAAGTTTGGTTTTTCCTAGGTTTTAGTACATTCCCTATTCATTACTTTTGTTTTAATTTAGAAAATCAATATGTCAAATATTCACTAGTTAACATAATATTTTGGTTAAATATATATGATAAAAGCTTGTGGGTAGCTGGGTGCTGTGACTCACACCTGTAATCCCAGCACTTTGGTAGGCCAAGGTGGGTGGATTGCTTGAGCCCCGGAATTTGAGACCAGCCTGGGCAACAGTGCAAAACCCCCCATCTCTACTAAAAATACAAAAGTTTGCTGGGTGTGGTGGCACATGCCTGTATTCCCAGCTACTCAGGAGGCAGACGCAGGAGGATCGATTGAGCCCAGGAGGTGGAGGCTGCAGTGAGTGGTGATCATGCCACTACACTCCAGCCTGGGTGACAGAGTGAGACCCAGTCTCAAAAAAATAAATAAAAATAAAATAAAATAAAATAAAAAGTTCAAGGGTATTATGAACTTTATATACATTAAATAATTTGTTGCTCAGGTTCTTCTTTGTTTAGTTTTCTGGGATTTCCTGAGTCATGAACACTTAGTGGAAAGTCTAAAGAGGAATAAGTATCCTTGAACGTCAGGTAGTGATTTTTTTTTTGTAGTAATATATTTTCAAAAATTTAACTTGTACATAAAAACTCACAGAAGGAAGATTTCTCTAACATAATGAACAAAGACAAATAATAGGAACATTACAGTACGTTGCTTTGATCCTCGTAAAACAATCACCACTAAACTCAAAGAAAGAATAAAGAAACTTTTGGGATGAAATTGAGCATTAATTGACTATGTGCTCCTTGAGCGCAGAACACTATGAATGAACGAGTGCATGAATGAACAAACACAATCTCACACACCCTGAATATGATCCTATTGTGGAGTATATTCTTTTAGAATTCTGCCTTTGCTCTTTTATCTTAATGATGGTAATATGTTTTTAAAATCTTTCATAAATTCCTTCCTCATCTCCTTTCCCTAAACCTCTGTTTTTATGAGTTGTTAAATTTTCTCAAATGGGTATTTTACCATCTATAGGAATCTAATGTCTGTTGTTGGGGAAAGACTACTATAAGTTGATTAGTTTCCCAGGCTAATTTGTAAAAGCCTGTTTATTTCATAAAGTAGAAAACCACAGTACCAAGAATACTAAACTGAGTTAGTTCTGTAACAATAGCACAGACGGCTCTATCACCCATAGTTTACGTCTCCTACTTTTACAATAGAAACCTCCCACTTCCAGTGTTTACGTTAATTAGGTGTTAGGTCATAATTTGAAGATACCGATTCATTCCAGAGAAAAACTTAAAATAGATTCTTTAACTCATAAAGAAGATTGTTGCTAATTCAAAAGACTCTCTAATATATTGCACTTGAGGCAGTGGGTGACATTTAAAAAGTATAAACGTGTCCACGATGTCAGGGGAGACACTGGGAAGCTGCCTGACTGAGCACTCTGAAAGGATTCCTGCTCTTTCTTCTCTGTGCCCTTACTCATGCATGCTCAGAAAGTTCCATGGCCTTCACAAGTCATTTCAGTGATCAGGGCAGCATGGACATCAGGACCGGAGGCGTGGGACTGGCTTGAGATTGGCCCTTTACAGGTGAGGGTCAAGCATAAGATCAATGTAAGGTGGGACTACCTGTAATAACTATGCTCTTTTTCCCCCGAACCAGACCAGCTCATTGCCTGTGGTGATGATTTCCAATGTCAGTCAATTACCTAATGCTTGGGCATCCATCATTTGGTACAACGTGTCAACCAACGATTCCCAGGTAGACTCTATTTCTACCTCACCTTCTTTAATTCTATTTGATTTGTTTTATTGCCAACAAACACATCTGCATCAAAACATGTATGTGTCAGTGGGGTGTGGGGTGAGAGTTGCTTTATTTCTAGTTGTGTGTTTCCTCTCATGTCATATTTAAAGTAGTATGTTCTGATGTATGTGGTCCCTGAGAGAGTTCTGCTAGCAAAAGTAGCAGACAGGTATTTATTATTTCTGAGGGTCTAGTCAGCTCCCAACTATGTACATACCAGAGAGTTCCAGGGCCATCCTATGTCTCTGTTAACTAAGCTGAAGGAAACTTCTTACCTCCTCAGCTGCTCTGGTCCCACCTTGTCCATATAGTCTCTTCTGTGAAGGTAGAGAATTGGTTTCCAAGTAAGTAATTAGAATATTCATCAATCTTGCCCAGTTGTATTCTGACAGCACACATTTTCAAGTCGATTGCAGATTTCATCCATCCTAGGCTCAAGCTGGGATTTAATGCCATCTGGTGGTTGTAACACTGGCCCAAAATTGGCCTCAAGTCACAAAGCAAGCTGTGAATAGATGCTCTTATAAGACAACCAGGGAAGGGAGTGGCAAAAAAGATGAGTCAGCACTTCCCCTTGCACCCCTCCTTCAAAACCTCAGTGTGTTGTCCTGGAAACCACTAAGGTCTAGAGAATATAGGTCAGATGTAAATAACAACATTTCTTCTTAATTCAGAGGAAATGTTCCCTCCAAAGGGAAGAATTCTACTTTAGATCCCAATAGTAAGAACAAGATCATAATGAATCAGCTTAGTGTTCTTTCCCTTTGATTCAATGTTAAGGAAATGACTCAGCCCTACTCCTTCTCCTCCTCAAGTGCCCTAGCATCTGAGACAAATTAACTGCAGAGAGGTAGACTGTGCAGGATGCCTTGAAAAGAGCAGAACTTATTAGAGAAATCGCCTAGTCTTTAAGGCGAAGGACAGCCAATGCCCCTGAGATTAAATGCTGATCTCCATTAGATCAACACTTGTTCAGCTTTCTTCCAACTCCGGGGAGTAGAAGGAGTGATGGGATACTTCTCCATCCTCCAGCCTCACAGAGCAGTGCTGCACTTAGCTTTCTTCAGCAACCTCCTTCTGTAAGAAAGTCACCAAAATCATCACACTCATCATCCCAAATTTACCTGGCTCTAGGATGAGAATCTAGAACTATAGATAACATACAGCTCCTAAAACACAGATTCACAGCCTAGTTACAGAACCAGTCTGAACAACTAATCCTGGTTTCTCCTCTTAATTCTATCCTGCTTTGAAACCTAAGCCGTTAGGCCTTGATTGTATTCTGTGCTTTCTGGTCACTTTTCCAGGCACCATTCTCAGGTTCACAAAAAAACCATCTCCCGAGAAATTCTTTCTCTTCATTCCTCCTCTTCCTCTTGCCCATTCCTTGTTGGATACTGTGTCCTCTTTTATTCCCGCCTTCTGAAATCTCTTGAATTGGTTCTTTTTCTTGATTAATCTAAGCCCAGTTTAGCTCATGTTCACAACAGCCTTCTCCAGGCACCGCATTGGATTTCTGAATTCTTCCTTTCCTCTTCTTGAAACACCTTTCTTGAGTTTCACACATCTGTTTTCCAGTAATCTGTGACAGAGTCTTATGTTTCACTATTGTTGACCCAGTTTCTGGCACAATCTCGTTTGTAGTCGATCACACAGAATATTCTCTTATTTAGCTTGGCACAGTAGTGCACACCTGTAGTTTCAGCTACTTGAGAGACTGAGGCAAGAGAATTTCTTGAGCCCAAAAGTTCAAGTCCAGCTTGGACAACATAGCAAGATCATTTCTCTGTTTTTTGTTTTGTTTTGTTTTGTTTACGTAGAGCAAATAAGAAAAGACTACTATGGTGTCCATAAAACAGGTATTTGAGGTTAATCATAATATTGTAGGGTCACCTTCCCTAGCCTGGGACTTTACGGTTTCTAGCACTTTGGGATGATTGGTCTGGTCAAGGTAAAAGTTGTGCCAACCCCATGATAAACCAATTAAATAATATAAGTTTTGTTTAGGATGAATATTGTTTTAGAATAGAATATCTGTCAAATTACTTGTTGGACAGTGTTAAGTACCTGCATGAGTAGACTGATACGGAAAAGTTCAAGAGATGCCAAGTGATGCTTCTGAAGAAAGATGGAGCTCTGATTATATTATACTCAAAGAACAGGGAGACTTTTAGGAAAAGACGATGTCAGTCTTAAGAACAACAGAGATGAGATGATATTTTATATTTACTTAGGTTGGCCAAAAGACTTTAAATTAGGAATCCTATATATTGAATTACAGTGTCATAAGCATAATTGTTATTAGTGGTGAATGTGTATGGATCTGCAGCAACCTCAATTCTTGCCTCAGAAGAAAGAATTCAACTGAGGAGCACAGGACAGAAGGAGTGACCAAGGCAAGCTTCAGAGCAGGAGTGAAAGTTTATTAAAAGCTTTAGAACAGTAAGAGAAGGAAGGAAAGGAAAGTACAACTCGGAAGAGGACCAAGCGGGCAACTTGAGAAGCCAAGTGTGCAGCTTGACTTCTTGATTTGGGCTTGGCATTCTTCAGGGGTTTTGTGTTACTTCTCCCCACTCCTGAGATCTTACTGGGAAGCTGCTGAGCAGTTTTAGGTGTTTTCTATTAGAACACGGTCGTTCCTTGGCACCAGCTGTGACCAATTATGACTTTAGAGAAACAGTTAACAACTGCCTGACCATCACCTAATGGTCACCCAACACTCCTAGTATGTGTGTGGGGAGACGGGGAGACCTCTCTCGCCCTGCTCATACCTCACTAGCTACCCACTGTAAGACAATTAACAAATCATCATCATGATTCTATTTCAGAACTTGGTTTTCTTTAATAATCCCCCACCTGCCACATTGAGTCAACTACTGGAGGTGATGAGCTGGCAGTTTTCATCGTACGTTGGTCGTGGCCTTAATTCAGATCAACTCAATATGCTGGCAGAGAAGCTTACAGGTGAGAGCTGGTAGACAGACAGGATTCGCCTCTGTTTTTGGCACTCAAGCATTTTAAATAACCAGGATGCTATTACTACTATTAATAATAATGATGATCATCATAATTTATTCAATGCCTACTATATTGCCAGGCACAGAGCTAAGTGTTATATTATTTTTAATCCTCAGGAAAGTCCTGCAAGGCTTACCTTATTCTATCAATTTTATAAATGACTGTATTGGAGTGCAGAAGTCAAGTGACTTGCCACAGCTGCATGGCTAGTACACAGCAGAACCAAGCCGCAGGCCAGACCTGTCCAGGTCTAAAGCCCCTCCCTGTCTATTCCCCACCCCAGTCTCCAGGGTATATTTCCACTAAATATGATGTGAAGCCTTAATGGTGCCCCATATGATCGTTCATATGAATGTCTCAACTGACATAAACCAACTGGAAAATGACTGATTCCTTCACTAGGTCTAGGAAATGTAATAGAAATTTTAAACCACCTGGGCAGTACTTAATTCTGCATACCAAGAAAGTTTCAGCTTTGACTGAGATTTCTAAAGTTTGCAAAATAGAGTCATTGGTACTACATGTACCAACTATAATCCAAACTTTTTCTAAAAAATCTCTAAGAAAGCTGTATTTTGACAAGTCGGGGTTTAACATATTTAACACCCAAAAAAAAAAAAGAGTTAAAATTAGATCTATATGCATTTCTAGTTAAATTAGGGCCAAAGATCCATTTGTGCAGCAGAAGTAGAATCATGTGTGATTTAAGCTTGACTCACATGGTGCTGGGATGCTTGCCACTTGCACCTACTCTTGGATCAATGGGTACTTAAATAAATTAGGATTTCGGAAAACATCACAAAATTTACTTAATGGAAATACATGTTTTGATCCTTATTTAATTCATAAGCAGCAATAGTAGGCATTCAATAAATATTTGTTAGAGTGAGTAAAGCTTTTAAGCATGTAGTATACATAGCAACCATATACTTTCAGACCTTTATCAAATTATTCTTATGAGTATAATTTCCTTAAAAATTTAGATGAAAACTCTTGTGTCCTTTCACTGCTCTGGATCAAAACAGCCAATGGCTACTTATTGTCTAATAGATTTCTAGTCCATTCTTTCCATCTTAATAGGCAACATTCTTGGTAATCTAGCTACACCTAACTTACACAAATTTGTTTTATAATGTTCATTTACCAATATTAGGCAGCTCTTCCTGTCTCCAGTATAAGCCATGTCCATGTCCATGTCCATCATGCCTTGTCCTATATTACTCTTGCTCTCTGGAGTGGCCTCCTTTGTCTCCTCTGACAATTTATATTCTACCCATCCAGATCCTAGATACCCACCTGCTTTCTAAAGCCATTGTTAGCTCCTCCACCAAAAACCTTATTATCTAGATAATAAACTTCTTAGGAGCAAGGATGATGTCTTATATTTGTACTGTACCTAGCACTCGGTACATTGCAAACCCATAACAGGTGCTTAAGAAATGCTTGAAAGGGAAGAGGAAAAATATCTAAATTGAGCACAAAATTGAAGCATCTCATTGTCGAATGAAAAATCTCATTCTTTTCTTTCATTTCAGTCCAATCTAGCTACAGTGATGGTCACCTCACCTGGGCCAAGTTCTGCAAGGTACAAACGGTCGGGGAAACATCATTTAGATACATTTGTTTTTTAATACAATGTTCCTAAGTCTATATTACTACCTGGGGTTTTGAGTAATTCCCAGATAAGAATTATTTTTTTTTTTGAGAGGGAGTCTTACTCTGTTGCCTCCCGGGTTCATGCCATTCTCCTGCCTCAGCCTCCCAAGTAGCTGGGACTACAGGCACTCACCACCACGCCCAGCTAATTTTTTTGGTATTTTTAGCAGAGACGGGGTTTCACCGTGTGAACCAGGATGGTCTCGATCTCCTGACCTGGTGATCTGCCCACCTTGGCCTCCCAAAGTGCTGGGATTACAGGCGTGAGCCACCATGCCCGGCCAAGAATATTTTTTAAAGAAACTAAGGTGGTGTCCAGTTTCAGGATATTATTTTGTTGAAAAATTGAACTTAAATTATTATATCAACATTGTTACTTAATGTCTTAATGTGCTTGTTTATTCCTATAGGAACACTTACCTGGTAAATCATTTACCTTTTGGACATGGCTTGAAGCAATATTGGATCTAATTAAGAAGCACATTCTTCCCCTTTGGATTGATGGGTAAGTTATAGGCTGTATTTTTCATATGAGTGAATTATGTTCTTTTTTTCTGTTGTTATTGGTTTTCTTCTACTTCTTTTTCTCTTAAGCATATTTAGTACAATAGAAAAAAAATAGTTGCAATTTCTTATTTGTGGAGTATCACTATGTATATTAATCTATATATGAGTATTTCAGGTGAGAATGACTTTTGATTACACTCAAAACAAACTGTAGGTCTGCTCTTTGTAAATGCAATAAGTGAAAATCCAATAATGATCAGAAAAAATCATGCATTTCTATTTTTAGGTATGTCATGGGCTTCGTTAGCAAAGAGAAGGAACGGCTCTTGCTAAAGGATAAAATGCCTGGCACCTTTTTATTAAGATTCAGTGAAAGCCATCTCGGAGGAATAACTTTCACCTGGGTGGACCATTCTGAAAATGGTATATACTCACTAATGTTTATTCTTGTGAAATTAGTTTTCTTAAATTTAGTTACTGGGATTTCAGTTTTTGGAAGTGTATGGTGTGTTGATCTATTTGTGATGTATTCAGTGGGCTTGAATATTAGTAGTTGCAGTTGTCTCAGAACAGGGTACCCATGAATTCCAAAAAGTCTATCGTATGCACAATCTATACTGTCCAGGCAGCAGACGGTCTGACATTGAAGTGACGTGAACTGACAAGTCACTGCAGTGGCATGAAG